GAGAAGGGCCAGAAAGAGACCTCCAGGAAAACGGGTTCCGGCAGGCTTTAAAAAGGGGAAGCGCTCAACCAAGAGAAAATCATTAGGGAAAAAGCACCCACGAAGAAGGAACACACTAGGGAGAGATATATTTTAGAGTGTTAAATATGGCTCTTTTACATCACAAATCTGCTGAATGTAGCATGGCAGAGTTGGATTTGTTTTCGGCTCCCATGACGCAGCTTTCTATAGATGAAAAACACTACACAGAGGTCCTCCCGTTGTCTGCCATTACAGAGGATGGACCCATTGAATTTTTCATTCCAGGGGACGGGGATAAATACCTTGATATGAACGACACACTGATGCATCTCAGGGTCAAAATAACCAACGCCGATGGGACTAATCTGGCAGTCGATGCTCCCGTGGCACTTGTTAATTATCCTCTAAACACAATTTTTAGTCAATGTGACGTTATTCTAGGGGATAGGCTGATTTCTCAGTCCAGTTCGACACATCCTTACAGAGCGATGATTGAAACTTTATTGAATTACTCTGATTCTACTTTAAAAACTCAATTCACTGCCGGCTTATTTTATAAAGACACTGCAGGAGCTATGGACTCTGTAGTGATCGCCAATGGGCCAAACAAGGGTCTCGTAAAGAGAGCGGTGTTCACCGCAGAGTCCCGAGAGCTGCATCTGATGGGGGCTTTGCATACCGATATATTTTTCAGCGAGAGGCTTCTCCTGAACTCTGTAGATTTGAGAATCAAACTCACCAGATCTAACGATGCCTTTACTCTCATGTGTGCAAATGACTCCACATACCGTCTAAAAATACTGGGGGCCTCGCTTTTTATCAAGAAAGCGACCATTGCCCCCGCCGTGCGTTTAGGTCATGCTGCTGCGCTGATGAGAGGCAACGCTCTCTACCCACTATCTCGTGTAAATATCAAAACATACAGCATACCTGTGAATTCCAGAATATGCAATCAAGAAAATCTCTTTCTGGGTAATATGCCTAAATACATAGTTTTGGGTATGGTAAATCACGAAGCGTTCACAGGAAGGAGAACGCTTTCACCTTTTAATTTCCTTCATAATGATATGGAATATCTGGCTTTGTGTCAGGATGGCAGACAAGTACCGGCCAAAGCATTCCAACCTCAATTTAACCGAGGGTCTTCAGTCCGAGAGTTTTACAATATGTTCACTGCTACAGGGAGACACATGAAAGATCTCCCTCTGAGTATTGACCGAGAGGACTTTGAACAAGGATATTCCTTATTCGTATTTAATCTCACTGCAGGGGAGGATGCTGACGCATTATCACCAATCACCAGCGGTAGTTTAAGACTGGAAATGAGATTCCGAGTACCGCTGCCCCAGACTACAACTTTAATCGTATATTCTTGTTTTGATTCAATTCTGGAGATTAATTCAAAACGTCAAGTGCTGGTAGACTATTACTAAGAAAAATATTACAAAATGAATAATCATCAATTGGACAGTCTCCTGCGACATATGGTGGGGGACTCGTTTGGGGGTGTATGGGCGTCAGATCAGCTACCCCAAGTAAAACAATTATTCAGATACCCTGTATACATGATTGTAAATACCCACCCCTCCCACATGCCAGGGGAACACTGGCTAGCAATGACTTTAGAAGGAGACAATGTGGGGACTTTTTTCGACTCTTTCGGATTTCCCCCCAATTTTAGTCATTATCCTAAAAGCATTCTACAATTTCTAGAAAAACAATGTAAAACTATATTACACCATAATCATCAGCTTCAAAATGTCCTGTCTACAGCCTGTGGTCAGCATTGTGTTTTCTACCTATGTAAAAGAGCGTCGGGGTTGTCTTACGAAGATGTGTTATCTCTGTATCAAGATGATGTGATAAAAAATGATGCTACTGTAACAAATTTTGTGAAAAAATATCAACGGTGTGAGAGACGTCATAAAGACACTCATTTTAACCACAGTGTTTGTTCTCTACAAATGTTTAAAGATTGTTACAAAATGTAATTCATTGACAATTTAAAATAAAAAAGGTCTGGAGACAAAATTAATTCAAATGACTCTGTCTTTATTAAAGGGAATAATTTAACCAACGAGGGCTTAACTGTACAGCTCTCCTTGATCTCTTCTTTACTGCAGTCGAAGGAGGGTCTAATTTACTTTCTTCTTCTTCTTCATGGTCTTTTCCTCCTCTTCTTCTTCTTTTTGTCTTATGCTCTACAGTCTTATGCTCTCCATGCAGTTCACCTGTTTTAAGTAAACTGTATTGTTCACGAGCCTGGCGGTTATGAAAAACGGTCGACGGAACATTTAGCCCTCTGAGAGTATTCAGGAAAACCGTCCAGCCTTTAGGTTCTTCTGTATTTTTATATGACCACGAGAGATTTTTTAATAAATCCATCATATGGGATCCTTTCACAGCTCTACCCTTATCTATAAATTCACCCGTTTCATTCCATCCACCGCTGCTTTGGACTAGTTTATTCATAATGTACTCTGCATTCTTACGGTAACGTTTTGGAAGATTCTGGAGTACCTCATTCTTTATGCCATCAGTGGAAATACCCTTCTTTTCTTCTCCTTTTTGCAGTCCCGTGTCTTCAGGTAGATTTAAAGTATTATGTCTTTCCTCCTGCCCCGCTTGTTTGAGTAAATTGAGGTATCTCTGCAGCAAGGCGTTGTATTTTCTTATTTTTTCATATGGGGTTATTCCTGTTTCGTTTAGTACGGCTCTCATTTTTTCATCCAGAACATCTTCTGCTGTACGTCTCATTGTTTCCTTGCTGTGGGGGGTAGTTACACCAGTCGGATTGAGCTGATTAAACTGGTGAGGTGTTAATAAAAACATCTTTTGACTCATGGTTTACTTTGGTCGAATAAGCCCTCCTAAAAGCTGTCCTAAAATGGGAATCACAGCACCTAGCAGAGGCAGAAGGAAACCCCCAGATTGTTTTCTTAAGGCCTTGTGTTTAGTTTTTATGTTGGTCTTTTTACTGGCCAATAGTTTGATAATTTTCTTTTGTTTTTTGAGTTTCTTATACTGAGCACCAGATAGCGGTATGTTCCCCTTTAAGAGATTTAAAGACAGTTCACAGAGTGATTGAAGAAAATCCGTGGAGCAGTTGTTGAGAATATCCTTACGCTTCGAAGGCCTGGCCTGACATAATGCCTTTAGCAGTGGCATGTTTCTTTTTAAACGAGCAGACATACTGTTTTCAAGTTTTCGGTTTTGGTACGTAAACAACTAGCCACTGTGTACGTAGTACTCCTGACCGAAGTCTATAGATGTCTGGACAGCTAGGGGTCAGGTCCAGGACTAAATATCCATGGGGGTCCTTGGTGGCATCCTCAAAACTTTGTAGGAAAAATGATTTATTACCAGGGTATATTTGCTGTGCAAGTATATTCATCTGTAATCTGTCTCTGGGGTTTTTAAACAAGACCATGTAATTAGTATTCAGACTAATTGTTCGACTATTCTTCCCCTGATGAAACACATTTTGGGTGAGCATCATAACACTCATATTTCTGTGATGGCGGTATTGGGTGAAAAGTCGGACTACTTCCGGATGCTCCGAGGCTTGAAATATAACATCGTCCAGTATAATCAAATGACTTTGATCAGGAGGAAATAGAGATTCATCTTCAAATGATTCAGGCAGACCTTTGATGAATTTCATATTTTTATTCTGTTCCTGCAGTTCTGCGTACATGGGCTGGAATGAAGTATAAATCCATACAATATTTTGAGGCTGTACATCCATTACATGAATACAATTTTGCAATACATTCTTGACAAAAAAAGTTTTTCCACACCCGCTGGGTCCTACTATTATACATGAAAAAGGGACACGCAGTCTGGGTTCAAAATCAATTTGGCTAGGTGAAAACATTTTGTCTCTTCTTATTATTTCTCAATACCCAAAAGGCAAAGTATCTCCTCCGTCTAACAGACGTCTTTTATCAAACACCACTCTGAACTTTTTGGTGAATGACACATTTCTCAAAACGAAACCCTCTTTATTTCGTACAATGTTGTGTTGTGGGACCTCGAGAACCCGCCCCCTCTCAGTGTTTTGAACGTAGCCTTCCACCAGCTCTGTAAGACTGTCAAAGTTCACCCGTTCACAGCACTCATGCGTCTGTGTAATCCCTTTCACTCGCATTACAACCTTTTTCTGATTTTTGGTTTGGTATGCATAACTTTTAGGACCTGCAGAAACAAACTCTTTGATTGTATCACCGCCCAGCTCGTCTGTAAGATCCCCCAGATAAACCCCCATCGGAAGTGGAGTCTCTCCAGGTCTTGTTACATATATGATACTATCTGTGTCGTAGTAGAAGACTCTGTGCTGCAATTTCTCCAATTCGCTGTACAGTTTTAGCCTGGCATAGGCCGTGGTGAATGCTGCAATGAATATGTTATCCACCTTGTTGGGAGGGGAGTGACCATCGTCGTCATAACACCATTGGACCAGAGCTGTCCTGTCATTGGTGAATGAGAAATACTTAACCTTATGTTTAGCTGAAAACAAGAGGTTAAGAAATTCTTCTGGTTTGGTCACAATCTTAGTCTGTGTCAGATTGCTTCTCTGAGCAAATTTACCCCAGAAACTGTTGAGACATAGCTTTGACACTTGTCTTTTGGCTGGGTTTGATGTGATTTTAGCTGCGTCGAGCTGTATGCCTTGATTAGCATGGTAGTCTGTCACATACTTTTGTCTGCTCTCATCATCTGTTGCTTCTGAAGGATAACCAGATGCTTCTTGTTTACCCTTCAAGAATGTGTGTATATAATCTACAAAAATGCTGTCACTTTTGTTCTCAAAATGCCACACCTCTGTGATCTGAGTCAGCTTGTAACCCATGTCCAGAGCCTTGTTGAATTCTGTTGTCACCCATACTCCTGTTAATGCTCTTTCCTCTTTGCTGTGCGTGCAGGGCCCCTGTTGGTTGTTAAGCTCAGCGCATGTACGACAGAGGGTGAACACAAGTTTACCCGCTGCAGTTTTGTAAGGCAGAACTGGAAAGTAAAGACCCCTGGGAGGTTCTACGGTAGCTCTGATTAACCCGAAATAACTCTGAGGATCTTTGAAATCTCGGAAGATGATCTGAGGGTGGCCTAGCGGGATAGAGGCCTGTGCAGTTTACAAAGGGGTACAGGGAGGTGAAATCACAATAATGAATCAATTCATCTGCCGCTGCCGTGTACCTCAACTTCACTGCACACGTTCTTCCCCCGTATAAAGCAGCCCTGGGGGTCAACGGTTCTGGAGCTTTGTAATCCCTGAGGAAAGCCTGCAAATCTTGATTGGATTTTTTCATCTCACCCCATGTATGCTCTCGCATAACGATCACTTTGGCCCCGTGAACAGACTGTAGCTCATGCAGCTTTTCCTCACTAGCTGCATGGAGCCGTTCAAATGTGCCACCTGTCAGGGGGTTTTTCTCATGCCCCTTATAACACGACGGACAGCCGTGATAAAAGCACCCAAGAAATTCCCAGACAATCTTTACTCCCTCAACTTCAGCAAAACCATCTACGACGAAACGTCCCACTCGTTTCTCACCTTCATTCAACGCATGTTGAATAAATACCCCCTCAGTATGAGCCACCCAATCTAACCACTGGATACCAGCGCTGGAGTATGTCTTGTTTTCACGACGGTAATCATCGGGCGGGGGGATGGCTAGGGTTTTTGGAGGCAGAAAGTTTGTGGTGAAAACTTTCATACAGGCCGAAGCAATGGTCGCACGACTAAAAGGATCTACACCAGTCTCTTCAAGGAATCCTTTTCGGAATAAAGTGCAGCCCTGTGCAAGAATGTCGACATCGTTTTTACAGTAAAGCAATGCCTGCTTTCGAAAATCAAAAGTACCCGTGCGTACCGTCTCATACCATGCGAAAAAGTCACTCTTTTCATCAGTTGTCATGCGTTCAATCCCATAACAGTGTGCTGGTGGGTAAGGTCCGATATAACTCAGATTGGCCTTAGAGCTGAAACCGTGAGGGAAATACCCCTTGGTTTTATCTTCGAACCCCAAAGCTTTGGGCATTGCAGCCAGCCGCATAGAGAGGTAAGACAGAGAATCTATGTACTTTTGTCTGAAATCTTGGTCAGTAAAATAAATCACTTTACTTCCCTGCATTACCAAAGATGGTTTTAACCCTTGTTCAATCATTGCATTGATAATGAGATAGCTGTCAAAACCCTTGGCATTGTGAGCAATGAAGGTTGCATTCTTGAATTTAGGGAGTCTAAAGTGGGCCAGAAACTGCAGTGCACAGTCGGTGCCCTCAGCGACCCAAGTTTCGCCTGCCAGGGTTTTTGTACACACCAGGAAGGGGACATGTACACCGTCTGCCCCCGCCATTGTTTCAAAATCATAAAACACGATGTGGTCGTTGTGCTCTGTCTCTTTGGGTAACACACCAATGTAACACTGATGTTCTACACACTCGCCTGTTGAAGCAGAGGGCAGCTTTTCGTTACATATCTTACATTTTTTCACCATACACTTGTGTGTTTTATCTGCACTACTCTTGGGAATGTAGTAAGAAAGTTGACAATCTACACACTTTTTGTGTAAATCGCAGTTACTGGCAATGGCTGATGCTCTCTGTGTCTGTTTTTTATGTCGAGCATGACAGCCGACCGTACGGCAAGTTTTGTTACAGTCTTTACAAAAGATGGGTTTAAACTCATCCAGAGTACATGAGGGGTCAAGACAGACAAAACAATGGCCTTTACATGAATGAAACCATCGTGAGTTGTAGCCGGTGTAGCAGTGTTCACAGACAAAGGAGGCGCCTAGAAAACCCTTCAAGTTCTTAATCCCATAGTAATGGTTTTCGAGGAGAAATAAAAACACAGTTTTATCTCTTTTGGGACCGTCTGTCTGGAATTTACAGAGGGTCCGATCTCCATCGCCTCTGTAAAAAACCACAATCTTGCATTTTAAACTCTCTTCGAATTTCTCAATGTCAGTGAATGTCACCGCTGTCTGGTCTGTCAAACCCACCCCCCTCTGAATCTCTCTACCGCGTTCAAAACCTTCGTTATCAGTGAGGTTGTCATGCAGCAACAGTGCTAAATTAATAGCAAAACACAGCTGGTTGACGGGGTTGTGAACAATGTAAAGAAAACGCTTCTTCTTTTTAACAATTTCATTGTCCAACATTTTACCAGCCAATCGTTTCTCCCCACCACCCCGAGGGGATTGAACAATTTGCACCACTAATTCAAGATCGCTATCTGCCATTACAGCCCAATTTGATTGCACTGCGTTGAAGAGCGCTTCATCAAAATCATTCAGATTACTGTCGTGGTTGGCATTCAAAATGGCTGACACGTTACCTTGCAGTTGCTCCCCCCTTAACTCAATCTGTACAAGATCTTCCCTATTTGTTAGTAAAAAAGCCTCATCCAGCATCTCATGTACACTGGCCATCATACTAACGTGATACGATGTGTAATCTGCCTCGGCGCTAGGACGGGGTAGGACTAAAGACTGACTCAGTTCTATGTTATTGAATACAGGTCGAGACACAACACGTGTTGAAGCATTCCGACTGTCATTAGCATTTCCACCATTTTGTAACGACGGGCCTGCTACCTCGGGAGCATTCGGGATGCTGTTTTGATCATTGTGTACACCGTTTTGCACGGGGGACACTGCTGCTTCTGAAGCATCCATACTGTCATCGTCGATAATGTATCCACCGGTTTGCACAGAGGAAACTGATGCTTCTGAAACATCCATGCTATCGTCATCAATGTATCCGCCGTATTCCACTGAGGAAACTAGTGCTTCTGAACCATCTATGCTATCGTCGTCGCCGATGTAACCACCGTATTCCACTGAGGAAGCTAGTGCTTCTGAACCATCCATACTGTCGTCAATGTACCCGCCATCTTCCACAGAGGAAGCTGCTGATTCAGCATTAACGGGGGCCTCGCTAACATTATTTGACACACGGACTTCGTCTGCGAGCTGATTTAAATGCACCAGACCAGGATATGCGTCAGAGTTTTGGTAGCAATCTAACACCCATTCCAGAATGCCATCAAATGTTATTGGATAGCTAGAGTTTGTTTCTGAGGGGTTGGTAGGTTCGTTTACAACTAGCTCGTCATAACTTAGATCGTTAATATTGTCTGAACACTGAGGAAATGACATTTCATCATACGTATAATCATCATCGCTTAGGCCACTTATATTATTCAAACATTGATTAAATGACGTTTCTCTATCTGTTGAATCATATATAACGTCTGCTTCATCGTTAGGAGGAGTTAGAACTGAAGACAGAGGTACTTTGTCTGCGTGCTGATTTAAAACCACAAGGTCTGCTTCATAGTTTTGGTGGCTGTCTAAAACTACTTCCAGTGCGCTATCTAATGTTGGTGGATAGCATGAGTTTGTTTCCGAGGGGGAGGAATGGTCGTTTACATCTAGTTCTTCGTCATTCAATTCGCTAATATTGTTTGAACACTGAGGAAATGACATTTCACTATATATGTATTCATTTTCGCTTAGGGGGATTATATCATTCAAACAATGCAGAAACGACGTTTCTGTAGCTGCTAAATCACCCATGTTTGACCGTTTATGAAATCATCCCATCACAAGAAAATAGAAAGGAAATCAAAAATACATTTCTCACTGCTGAAGAAAACCACACCGCTATCAAACGCCTCCAGCTTATTCAGTTGGTGTAACCATAAAGTTGACGGTCGCAGCGCTGTGCTCGCGAGGCAGATCTGTACAGAAAAGAGACAGAGAGGTAAAAAAGAGGGGGTAAGTATTTGAAACACTGAAATATTATATTTAACAACAAATCATTTAGCGATCATCTTATAAAAATAACCACAAGTAATTTACCTGTATGGCACCTCGTTTGGAGTGTGTTTGGGATGGGGTCATCCAGAGCTGTTCTAGGCCACACTGAGAAGCTCAAAAATATGCCTGGCGCTCAGACTGCAGTGGTGTTGGGGGTCGCCCCGAACGTGGCGTGACAGAGGTAGAGGGATGCTCCTATCTGGGACTGGGGACACCCTCGATTTCACACGTCAGAGATCTCTCCCCCCGTTGTTTTACCGATGAATGGCTTATGCTGTAGATTCCATTACCTTGTAGCAAAAGAGCAGGTATATAAAACGTTACTATGGACAATTTATACATCAGGTAAAAAATGAATAAAAACCATATTTCGATTTTAATTTAAATAAGCCAAAACACACACACACACACACACACACACACACACACACACACACACACACACAATACATTGACTTACATGCATTTCCTGGAGACTTATTATTATAACCTTAGTCAAAAACCAAAACACATGCCTAACCCTTAAAACCTAAAACCAGGCCATGTCTTCACCCCAAAATTAATGAATGGATAATTACATGATATTATAAAATATAAAAGTACTTACCAGTGCTTTTTTCCAGATCAGATCCAAATCAGGTCTCATTCTCTCCAGAAGGTCATGCGGTCTGTTCTTGTGAAAATGTGCTCACCTTAAATAGCTGTATTGCAAATAAGCATGTCAATAGGCCCCAGAAAAAGTGGGGAACCAATCGGAATGGTATTATTAATTTAACATGTGTTGTCTGTCAGTGATTTCTTAAAACTCTCAAGTCTGTGCATTCTTAAGTGTTTTTTTACAGCTAACCTCTGTGTTGATCAGACCTTAAGGAGCCGATTCATAATGAAATAGCAGGACCTTTTAAAAAATCTTCTCTTTCCTCCATACCTGCAGCTACTTCTAATCTCATATAACTTCATATAAGGATTATTTTATTAATGGGTGATGTAATTAAACATAAAGAAAAAACCAAAATACCCCAGGATCATTAAGATCTTTAATTTATTGCCAACCTCTTCAGAGAGACTTTGTTACATTTAATACCAGATTACCCCTCTTTTCAATAAGAGAGGCCCCTAAAGTTAGTATAGTAATTAAACATTAGTTCACCATCCATACAATTCAAAAGAACATACTTAGTTATTAACCCCTCTCATATTTAAAAAAAGACGGTCTGTGTGTGTGTGTGTGTGTGTGTGTGTGTGTGTGTGTGTGTGTGTGTGTGTGTGTGTGTGTGTGTGTGTGTGTGTGTGTGTGTGTGTGTGTGTGTGTGTGTGTGTGTGTGGGGGATGAAATGGATGGAGCCATCCTGGGTCACACCTCCAGGTCTATGCATTCTTAAGTGTTTTTTACAGCTAACATCTGTGGTGAGCACATTTAAAAAATAAAAAATAAATCTTCTCTTTCCTCCAAACCTACAGCTACTTCTAATCTCATATAACTTCATATAAGGATTATTTTATTAAGGGGTGATGTAATTAAACATAAAGAAAAAACCAAAATACCCCAGGATCATTAAGATCTTTAATTTATTGCCAACCTCTTCAGAGAGACTTTGTTGCATTTATTACCAGATTACCCCTCCTTTCTATAAGAGAGGCCCTTATAGTTAGTATAGTAATTAAACATTAGTTCACCATCCGTACACTTCAAGAGAGCCTCCTTAGTTATTAACCCAACTCTTATTTAAAATTAAAAAAAAAAAGGCAGGGTAGGAGGGGAATACGGGTATGTGTGTGTGTGTGTGTGTGTGTGTGTGTGTGTGTGTGTGTGTGTGTGTGTGTGTGTGTGTGTGTGTGTGTGTGTGTGTGTGTGTGTGTGTGTGTGTGTGTGTGGAGGGAAATCTCTCAGAATGATATCCCCTTTAGCGCAATACAGCATCAGCTACACCACTTATGCGACATACAAGAATAGTGTGTGTGACAGACAAAAGATGTCCTGTAGGGGCTGATTGCGCATGGACATAAACGCTAGTAAAGTCTAATCTGACGGGGGAGACCCGCTGTTGCTGACGGGGGGAGATCCGATGCTGCGGACTATTCGACATGCATCTCTGCATGCGGTGAGCGGAACAAAACACACTCTTCAGATATCACACGTAGCTATTTTATTTACCTCTCAAACTACCTAAACTATTTATAGATATGTTTTAGTTTTACTGTCGAGTCACTCATTATTGGACCCGCGACTTTGATACTGTCGTGTTGTCAGGAGGGGGAGAGCAGTCCGTTTATTATTCCCGTGTTATTGTAAATTACTGTACACGTTTTTGAATAGTTAATTAATCTACTATAATTAGTTGGTTTAATATCGAATCATATCAGTTTGTTTCAAAGCTCATTAAATAACATAGAAGACCTTTAACCGGCACTTTTCTAATTCTGCCTCGGAAGATTTAAACTCTAACGAACATGCCGACCGGACAGGAGGGGGGAGGAGGAGGGGGTTGAGAGGGATGGGGGCTGAGGAGGGGGGTGGGGGCGACAGGGGGGATGTGAAACCTGCTGTAAGGAGGGGGTGGGTTGAGAGGGTGGGGGCTGAGCGGGGTGGGGGCTGAGAAGGGTGGGGGCTGAGAAGGGTGGGGGCTGAGAAGGGTGGGGGCTACCGGTGAGGATGTAACACCTGTATGTGAGGGGGAGGGGGGCTGGCTGAGGGGGGTGGGGGCTACCGGGGGGATGTAACACCTATACGCGATAACACCTTGAACAAAGGGGCTCATTAGCATATCAAAGGGGCTCATTAGCATATCAAAGGGGCTCATTAGCATAATTAGGGGGCGGGACTTAGAAGGTGTGACCTGTCACTTTTTTATGCATACTAATGAGATTGAAGCGGGATTGGTAACACTACTGACATGGCGATTAAACAGATCCTGTATCTTGCTTATCGTCATCAGCCATCCTACGGTGAAACATGGCAATCATGTGTGCTTTCCGTCGGCCAATCCTTTTCCTATGGCTTTTGAACTGCCTTTGATGCTGAAGAAACTTTGCGATTATAGCATTCGACGTGTGGCGGCTCCGGATTTGTGTCGGACGCCTAATAGGCTCAGGCTCAGGCCGCATTAACGAAGTTACAAAGCTGTATAACATGAGCACAAACAGCACAACTTCAGTCGACTCCATCTCCATCATGTCTGAGGTCGGAAGGTAAACAACAGACAGTATATGCGGGAAGTTTTTCTTCTTCTTCTTCTCTTGTTTTGTAGCGGATTGCAAACAACTTTAAGGTGCATACCGCCACCTACTGTACTCGCCGTGAAGTGGTTTGTGGCCTGCCAGTAAAGCCAAAGCAGAAGAAGAAGAAGTGACGTCAGCGACTCATTTGCGTAATCTTCCCTCAGGGAAAAGTACTCCGGTGTGAACGCGATCTGTACTAAGTGCCCTGGGGTTAAAAGCGCCGGTGTGAACGCGGCTATTGTACTTGTGTGAAAGTAGAAGTACCAAAGTGAAGGAATACTCTGTTACAAGTAAAAGTCCAAAATGTGAGGAGCTCCAAGGATTGGTCCATTTGGGTATGGGCACGTCACTGTACCCAGGAAGAAAACATTAGCCGCGTTCACACCAAGTACTTTCCTGTACTTAGTTCCGGCACTAAGAGCCCCGGCGCTTTTAACCCCAGGGCACTTAGTACAGATCGCGTTCACACCGGAGTACTTTTCCCTGAGGGAAGATTACGCAAATGAGCCGCTGACGTCACTTCTTCTTCTTCTGCTTTAGCTTTACTGGCAGGCCACAAACAACTTCACGGCGAGTACAGTAGGTGGCGGTAAGCACCTTAAAGTTGTTTGCAATCCGCTACAAAACAAGAGAAGAAGAAGAAGAAAAACTTCCCGCGTATACTGTCTGTTGTTTACCTTCCGACCTCAGACATGATGGAGATGGAGTCGACTGAAGTTGTGCTGTTTGTGCTCATGTTATACAGCTTTGTAACTTCGTTAATGCGGCCAGAGCCTGAGCCTATTAGGCGTCCGACAAAAATCCGGAGCCGCCACACGTCGAATGCTATAATCGCAAAGTTTCTTCAGCATCAAAGGCAGTTCAAAAGCTTTAGGAAAAGGATTGGCCGACGGAAAGCACACATGATTGCCATGTTTCACCGTAGGATGGCTGATACAGGATCTGTTTAATCGCCATGTCGGTTTTCTTTATTGCACTCTCAAGACATAACATTAAATAGAAATATTTTAAATGTAACTAAAGTGTCAGTTGTACATGTCAGTAAACATTGTCAATATAAAATAAAGTGTCAGTTGTACTATATAATAACAGTAATAACAATATAAAATAAACTGTCCCAGGTGTAGGGATTGTCTCAGCAGCAAACCCACCTTAATGATATATATATATATATCTTCCTGAGACCCACTGCATCCGTCTGCCATAAACACTATGCAAACATACATGTTAGTTTTGGCCCATAGTGGACTCCATGTTGTGTTGTGTGAAATGGGGGGGAATTAAAAGTTTAGGTCAAATAATTATTTAAAATGATATAAATTATCATATTTGTGTATGTGCCGCTGCCATTCCCCCACAAGGTTGCAACATTGATGATAAATAAATGACAAATAAAGCTTTGCCAGTTTATAACCGATGAAACATGATGGTATCAGAATAATCACTTACATGTGATGTATAGGATGCTACACAAAAGATAAAGTGTCAGGAGAAATAAGCTTAATCGCCATGTCGGTTTTCTTTATTGCACTCTCAAGACATAACATTAAATAGAACAATGTAAATAAAGTGTCAGTTGTACATGTCAGTAAACATTATATATAAAATAAAGTCATAACAGTAATAACAATATAAAATAAACTGTCCCAGGTGTAGGGATATTCTCAGCAGCATACACACCTTAGTGCAAAGTTGTGTGTCGTGTGTCATTATTTACAAAAACTATACCAAATAAACTGTTATTAAATGCAGTTTGTCGCTCATCCTGCCGCTGCGCCGACGCTTCCTCATGGCACAGCGCCCACACTTCATCCTGGTGCTGCTGGCGCTCCATCTGCTGCTTGAACACTTCTGCCTGGCGCTCCATCGAGGTGAGCATCTTGTCCTCCGTTTCCTGGGCCTTGGTGAACAGCACCATCTGATCTCCACGCAGCGACTTATTCACCACGGCACGCCGGTCCTCCAACGCCTGGGCGGTGTCAAAGAAATTCGCATCCTGTGTCCGCTTTCCTAAGAGGGGAAAATAAGCAAGATACAAGATCTGTTTAGTCGCCATGTAGTTTTACAACATACTAGGAATGTGTTTTTTGTATTTTCACAAATAGA